GCCCCAGGCAAGCCTTTGCGGACGTTCACATGACCAAAGCTTACCTCCGACCATTATGCTCTATTTTTATGACCACAACAGTCAGATAAATTGATAGAAAGTTTACACTGTTGCTTAATTAATTATTCCATGAAAACGAAACCAATAAGGAATGCATTTTTTAATACGAATAATAAGCATAGGTAGATTTTTTCATAAAAATGCTTTTTACAATTACATTTTCAAAATATTCTTCATCGTTTTTCTAATTTATTTTAAATTAAGATTATACTTAATTTTTTGAGAAAATGTTAAGAAAAATCACTATCGAATAATAAATTATATTACGTCACAAAAGTGACCACTTCAATTGTTACAAAAAAATGTTTTACCTTTCAATCATGAAGTAAAAATTCTATTTTCTATTTTTCTATTTTTACTTTTACTATGATTTTATGGACATTTTCTAATGATTCTTCTTTGGTTTCTGTTGTAGTTTCAATAGTTTCAGCATTCGACATTTTATACTACTAACTGCACTAGTTAAATTAATTAACATTAACAAAATCTCAAAACAAATTCCGATACTGACGCGTGATGGTTTTTATAAGCGTTGTTATGATTTCATTAGTTGCAAAATGTCCTAATTATTTTGTTTAGTTACTTGCTGATAATAGTGTTACTCTTTACTCTTGATCTGAATAAGTTTGCGGATAAAAGAGTATATTAGAGTAAATTAGTTGCCTCACTACGTTCGGTAAAATAAACCTTCAATTTGGTCACATAAACTATATCACTTTTACTCTTAATAATATAATATGCTAAGAAACTATGAACTAAGAAAACTAAGAAAAAATAAATGAAATGAAATAAAAAAGTAGCTAAAAGATTGTACAATGTTTTTTATTTTATACATTTTGTTTAATAATCGTAACATTCAATCATTTATTTATCAAATACTATTTTATTTTTGACACTTACGTCTCAATACATACAACTAATTATTTTATAATGATCCCCGATTTTTTTTATTTTAAAACTGCGACTGTTTACACATTTTTGTTTAGTTTTGCATTTTTTCACATTTTAAAAATCTGTCATTGGTGTTTTTTTTTTCTTTAGGTTGTACATAGAAAGTTAATTTACGGGGTAATTTTCAACTTAGGCATTTTAGGTCAAAACTAAAAGACGTCAAAAGACTGAAATTCTATGCAAAATCTGAATTTGCCTTAACAGAATATGAAAAGACAAAAAACTTTAGATCTGGGTAATAATAAGAAGTAACTACTGCAATATAAAAATTACATGTAATTATTTTGACAAATTATGCATATCTGTTGCTTTCAAAATGTTCCCTCATGTCATAATTAAGTTGTTTAATTAGGGATACGTACTACTCATGGATTGAAATACAAATATTATGTCACATTTACTTCTTTGCTTGAACGAGTGTGTTAGAAATTTCACTATTATGTATGTATTGTGCATATACCTTGGGGTTTGGCTTTACACCATCTTAAACCAATCAAAAATTCTAGTACAAATAAAATATTTTCAAGCTGATCAGATAATATACTAGTGGTAATTCTAGTACGTACATTTACCTGTTTTCTTTACAAATTATCAGTCATTATGTAGGCCTAACTTACAACATTTGTAAGGCAATCATACATAATATTTTACGATTTACACAATTAACGTAAGTGTTAATAACACTCACGTAACCGTTATGAATCAAATACAATTGGTTCAAATACATATAATATTACCACATTTTTTTGTCACTTTTATGAAACCTTTTCGCACTCTAGGACAAATTCTAGTCCATCTAGGCTACGCAAATACCTATTTATCCTGAGATAAAATCAAAAATCACAACTACAGAATGCGTAGAAAAATACAGGCTGTCTCAACTAAAATTTCTAAGATTGAAAAAAATACTGAAACAGGTCAATTTTAACTTCAAGGGGGACTAAAATCAAAATTTCAAAGTTATTTCTGCATCCTTCTAACAGTTCTAACACCCAAAAAAATTAAATAGCAAGAGGAGTCAAGTGACTCATTATTTTGCAGTTGCTTTTATTGTTTTTTGAGATTTCTGTGAGAGAAAAAGTGGCTATGAAAAAAACAACAATTCGATTTAAAGAATATATTGCTCCAAATAACGTGTTACTCAACCTGTTTCAGCATTTTTTCTAAACTTGAACACAAATTCTAGTTGGGACACCCTATATAATTTTGAAAGCTAAAAACTACACTACTCCAAAATATTAAAGGTACAAAAAATTTTCCTAAATTTTTTGGTAATTTTTGAAAGGCTGTATTTTATCGAAAAATGTTCGTATCTAGATTAATTTTTTATATTTATTTAATTTTTTTTCAAAACTTTGATCAATCGGTCTTAGAAAATGGTTCGATGGATTAATTTAAAAATTAACAGGACTATAGGAATATATTAAGCTGCAAAAACACCTAGAAACATTAGTGTCCCCATCATAATTAGTGAATACGCGGTAGATTTACTAAAACAACGCAAAAAGTTTTCTCTTTTATTTAAATCAATGTTGAATGTGAAAAAAATTTTTTTTTTAAAAATGATAAAAAGATCTTGCAAGACATTTATTCCAGTTTTTGACACTACCCTTATATTCTCTGTGTGATCATTTTTTGCTGAGATATCGATGATCAAACACAAAAGGATCCTTTTTATTTTAAACTCAGATATTTTACCAAGAAATTGACGTTTAGAGAATATGAAAAAAGCGTATTAAAGGTGAATAAACATGCTATCCGGCCTATGCATTGATTTAACGTCCGTGGACCAAAAAAAAACAACAAAATTTAGATTTTTTTTTCCCCGCTATTACTTAGGATTGTGTAATAAACGTAGCCCAGAAAAAAAATGACAAAAGATCTCAAAACTAGAAACTAAAACCTTCAAAATGTTTTTTTTTTAATCTAGATACGACCATTGTTAGATGAGTTACAGCTTTTCAAAAATCACAAAAAATTTGGGTAAATTTTTTGTTCCTTTAATTTTTTAGAGTAGGTATTTGTGTTCAACATTTTTTTGTAATTTTTTTGTTTACAAAACTGAAAATGTTGAGCTTTGTTATATGATTTGTGGTATAGGATCACATTGCCAAATTGTTATTTTTCCAAATAAAGAAATAAGTTGCCTGAACAATTTTTTAATAAAAGTTGAATTTGTGAAAAAGCTGGAGATTCTAATAACAATCCAGCCAAAATTGGGCTTACTACTTGTACGCTTTTTTTTGAATAGAAGTGTACTCCTCAGCACTGAAATTATTTTTTACACTCCAACTTTTTCACAAATTCAACTTTTATTAAAAAATCGTTCAGGCAACTTATTTCTTTATTTGAAAAAATAACAATTTGGCAATGTGGTCCAATACCACAAATCATAGTATAACATAGAGTAAACTTATCTTTTAATCGTTGTTACTTAGAAACCATAACTAAAATCTTATTGATAGCTGGATTTCATTGATGTATTTCTCGGAGATTTTAATATGTTTAAATTTTTTGCTCTATTACACAACCATTACCAATTACTACAAACACAATTTATAATAAACTTTTATTTATAAATTTACAGAAATAGACAATTCTCAACAATCTAACAACAATTTCAATAAACTTTCAACAACGTTCCATACCGTCTGCAGTAGGAGGCCTGACATTCAGCTTAGACATTTTTTATACCTAGACCACTCATCTTCCAACTTATTAGTAATGACCACGCTCTTGTTAATGGAATGTTTGTCGTGGCATAATTCAATTATAAAAAGCAATCGAAAGCAATTTTCACACAATTTACATACAAAATGTCAGTAATACGTTTTCTTGGAAACAATTAATTAATATAATCCCATTTACAATAGTCCCCATTACGTGTTTTTTTTTTTTTAATAGAAGTGTACAGGGTGCTGCATTTTGGATGTCCGAATAGGGAATCTCCGAAACTAAGATGTTTAGCCAAAAACGAGTGATACATTCTGGGGCTCATTTTTTGAGAAAATAATATTGGTTAAAACCGCGTCCCGCTATCGTCTTTTGTTTTCGACTTACAGACAAAAGTTGACATTTTGGCGAAATCGAAAAAAATTAATATCTTCGTTATTATAGAAGATACGGATTTGAAATAAAGACATTATACAGGCACTTTTTTACGAGGAATTTAATAATGTAGTTAACAATTTTTTTCAGTTGTTTATTTAGCCGTAGTCAAATATACTTGTATTTTTTTAAATGGGAACCATAGATGGCTGTCATTTTTAAAAAGCTTGTTTTTTTCTTATCTAAAAAACATATATTTGTCACAAATTATTATACTACATTTTTAGCAAAAAATTATCTTTGATTTTTGTTCGCTGTTGGCCATGAAAAAATGTTGCATCTTCAACTGTAAGGATTTAAGCTATATATTATTCAACCAGTGTCACTAACGAAAGAGTTTTCTAAGTACTAAGTAATGAAAAAAATGCAAAATAAATCGTAAATCAATTTGTTGACGGCTAAATAAACAACTGAAAAAAAATGTTAACTACATTATTAAATTCTACGTAAAAAAGTGCCTGTATAATGTCTTTATTTCAAATATGTGTCTTCTATAATAACGAAGATATGAATTTTTTCAGATTTCACTAAAATGTCAATTTTTGTCTATAAGTCAAAAACAAAAGACGATAGCGGGATGCGGTTTTAACCAATAATATTTTCTCAAAAAATGAGCACCAGAATGTATCACTCGTTTTTGTCTAAACCTCTTAGTTTCGGGGATTTCCTATTCGGACATCCAAAATGCAGCACCCTGTACATTCTTAAAGTATGTAAAAATTTGAAAGCATTGCACACTGCACTATTTTGTCAACTTCAGGGACGATTTTGATTAAAGACCTATTAATATTATTTACAAAAGAGTCCATTGTGCGGGTTATTTTGGGTTAAGTTACTGACGGTTTTAGAAAATAATGTTAACTTGTCCACTTCTTTTTCAGAGTATTGGTCACGTCAGCGGCTGCCACATCAACCCTGCGGTCACGCTGAGTCTTTTCGCAACCGGCGACATTAAACTCCTCCGAGCATTACTCTTCATCGCGGTTCAACTCATCGGTGCTGTTGGCGGCTCAGCTGTTCTGAGGGTAAGCAAGCAGGAAAAGCGTAGACACTCATTATTAAATTAAAATGATATCCACGTATTAGTCATTGAACTTGGTGGTCACCGGAATGGAACACCGCTGAGGCCATGCTTACTCGTAACCGATATGCGTGACTAATCTTGGCGGTCATGTTCTGCACTTGCTCCATCGGAGTTACAATGACGAAGACCTGCAGGTCACCGGACGATTCTCTGACCTTATGGCTTAGTTTCTAGCTTCGAGCGGCTCTGGGAAAATTATTTTAATCACGCGTGAAATTTACACAATTAATTTTATATCGGTTTTAACGGGACTCCAAATTTACATAATGTTCGTATGTTTACACCGATAATTAGATTTTTTATTGCGTAACCCGAGGAAATAATATTAATTGAGGCAACGCTTTTCACTTACAAACTACCTATTGGAAATGTGATAAAAAAATTAAAAATAATGGCATTACGAATGTCTGTTAGTTAAGAAAATTAACACTAGTGTCCTGTATTAGTGGTAGTGGGTATGTAATTGTGATTTTTCCAGTGTAATGTACAAAATTATAGCTTTTAAATTTTTTTACAAGATGGTCTTCTCGGGTTTTTCATACCTTAAAAAGTTTTCGCTAGCAAACATCGCACTTTCTAAAAAAACTATTATAGAGGATTGTTGTAAAAACTGTAAGCATCGTGATTGGGTCGTTTAGGTTGGCCATTACAAAAATGTATAAACCAATCACTTACGTTTTTGGATTCATTCAAAATTAAATGCAATGATGTGATTGGTCCGTTTGAAGTCGCGGCCATTATTGCAATGCGAGTAACTATGGAGAAGCCAATCACTTTAGACTTTAGATTCATTCAAAAATAGCAAAACTGTTTTATTTGGATTCATTAGGATAATTTCAATTTTTAATAAAAATGTCATGAGTGTGTCGTTTATGAGGAGAAGTTGCAACCCACATTTTGTCGTAGTTGATTGGAAAATAAAAACTTAAAACCTTAAGAAATAGAAATGTGTTTTACCCATCTTGTGTGATTACAAACACAGAACAACAGAAATAAGAACATAATTTTGTTCTCACATTTTTTATATTTAATTTATTTTCTGGACGCAAATGATTTTTAAAAAAACGCTTGGTTTCATACAGTGCGATCAAAAAGTCTGTCCATCAAGCAAGCGTAGAAATTTAAAACGTAAAGTATATTTCATTGAAATTGGCATAATAGGTGGCTATGGAATTTCGTATTTAAGTTTGTAGCCCTGTGCATGTCCCTGATATAACACCTGATGGGGTTTTTGTTTTTRTTTGATCACTTACCTGCATGGTTTATTTAACTGACATGACTGACATTTGTATTCGTTTTTTCACTGTTTTCGTTGGTTGTTCGTTATTCCTACTATTTTTTCAAATTATAATTAAAAGTAGTTCTCTTCAGAACCCCAGATTTAAAGTACACGCTAAGGTATGTTTGAAAACATAATCAATTTCTTTTTGTTCCTGTTTTAGGCATTTTAGGTTAATGGAATCAAATATACCAATTTGAATTCAGCCAAATTATTTTATCCACGGCAAAACACGATTTTTCTGGCTTCAGTATGCGAAGCTTCATTTTGTACAGATTTCCTTTTTCCACTCCGATCGCAACAACTTTACCATTGTTTAAAAATTAACAATTTTGTCCTACATTTTTAATGACAAAATCCAAACCCCTTTTGGCTGCAACTTTCAAGGAAAATTAATTGTGTTTCATCTCCGGTGTGAATAAAACGTCTTTTAAAATTCCTGGAAGCCACTTATTATCAACGAAAGTCTGTATTTTCTACAAAGCAAATAGTGTATGTTTTGGTGTCAAAACTACACCTACAAAGGGATGAAACTTTTTATGGAGAAAAACTCTCTCTGAAAACCTTTGAAAGAGGGTTCTTGAAAAATAAAATTTTAACTATCTTAACCTCACTTTTTTTAGTAACAAATTTAGTTCCTTAATATGTAAAGCCTTTTTCACATTTAAAGCGCAGTTTACACAATCATGGCCTACTGTTATGCCAATTTAAATGAAATGGATTATATGTCTGTGGAACATAAAATGTCACAATGACAAATGAGAAATGTCAAAATATTTTTTATGTAAATTATGACAGGAAACCGTGGTGAACGATTTTTATGAATCAACACCAACAAAATCTTATTTTAGTTTGTTTTGAGACATTTCATAGAATAATTCAATTTAATTAGCTCAATGTTTTAATTTTTATAGAATAATTTTTTGACATCTAGATAACATACGAACTATGCAACATACGTCCTCAACCAGGACGCCTACTTAATAGAAAGACTTTTTGATCGCACTGTACATTATATTCACCTTGTATAAGAATAATAATTTGCAAAATAATATAAAAATACGTATACTAAAAGTTATAATAATATGAATAAATTTATAAATATATGCCTATTCAATGTACAGGATGTTCCTTCTAAACCCCCATTAAGAGTATTGGGAGTTCTGATAATGATATTAGTCTAAAAATTTGTACTTATATGTATTTGTATTTCCGGTTAATCGAAAGTGGATTAATTTAAATAGAAAGCTATATTTTTTACCTATTGCATTTTTGGATTTCCCGAAGAGTGAAGAGCTATCATTGATTTCCCCATACCATTTCAGAGATTTTTAGATTTTTTAAAAATTTCTAATTTTGAACTTTCTTCCTCAAAATTCTATCTAACTCTGCAATTTTTAACTCTATTATGAAATTGTATTTTGGCATATAAGAGAAATAATCGATCTTTCTTTTAATCGATTCATAATAAAAAAAATATAACGAAAACCCAGAAATTAACGTTACGCTTGGAGAAAATCAAATACTCATAAGTCAATTTTTTTAAATAAAAGGCTCAATTTTTTTTTCATTAATTGGAGGAGAAACTAATTCTGCTTCTTTACTATACCTATGAGCTCAAGAAGACATAACAATTTTTTAGTCATTAGTATCTAACTTAAACAGCTAATATACAAAAAAAATTAATTTGGACTTTCTTAAATTTGTAATTTGTAATGGGTCAACGGAAAGTCCGGGCCCGTGTTTCACTCACTGGACATAATTATTGCTGAAATAAATACAGACTGATCAAAAAATATGTAACCAAGCTTTTTGAAATGAAATTTTTGGAAACGTCTGTTTGTTTTTGAGTTTAGCAAAAATTGGCAAATTATTATAAAAATATTTAACAAAAATTAAATTTTCTTTGAATAATAATAATGATGTATATTATGTCGTGTTTATTAATTGTTTCAAAAAGTAAATAATTAAGCAAAAACTACAGTAAGCGGCAAAATTTTAGAATAATCTTATTAAAACTGTTTGGCAAAAATGCTGGAGCTGGTAATTTTTTTTAAATACACAATTTTCAACTTGATGTAATATTTTATACTTTTTGTTTTTTGAATAATGACGTTATGGACATTTTTTTAAATGTAAACCCTTAATTTTTTTAGCCAATTCGATGAATCTTTTAATTTCAAAATGTCAACACCAAAATATTAAACATTACATAGTTTTCGAAAAAAAAGTCATACAAAAAATGAAATGTGAACAAAAACAAGCAAAAAACAAAAGCATACTATTTTAAATCAAGTTGAGAATTTTGTATTAAAAAATAAATTGACCTGTTTGAGCATTTTTGTCAAAAAAAAATATTTTCTGTATTATTACATAAGATTATTTCATAATTTTGCCACTCACTGTATTACATAGTTCCTAAAATAGTACTTTAGCGGACTAAAATTTTGCGATTTTTCACATTGCCATATTTTTGTTATTCTTTGTCGGATTTCGACGAATTTTTATTTGGCTTAAAAAAACTTTGTAGATCATTGTAATTTAATTCAATAACATTTCTAGTTTTGTCTTCTAAAGGTGATACTCAAAAGACAAAAGCACTGGTTTTTTACTTATTTTTATACTGAGCTGTGGTGTGCGACAGAAACAAATTTAAGTTTTTACTTATTTCAGATTATTGCCCATTCTTTTCTGAATTATGTACCACATTTTACATAATTTTAATTCTTGAAACATGAGAGATATAAAACTTCAAAAAAGCATTACATTTCCAATTTCAATGAATGTTCGTATTAAGAACGCCGAATGTGCCAAGACGTCAAAATAGGAAGCTTCCAATAATTAACCGTTTTACTTGATGTAATCTTTTGAAGTTTCAAGTTTTTCCAATTTTTTGTGTTCAAAGACGTAATTGTGCTCTTTTGGTGACATAAGCAATAATTTTCGGTTTAACTACCTTTTTATGTAGCCTATTTTCTGAACGAATATTTAGTAACATTACAAAAGCAACGTTTTTCAGCCGACTAAAAATCCGACAAAGAATTTAAAAAAATATTGCGATGTAAAAAATCGCAAAATTTTAGTTGTCCGGTTAATTCGGGAGGTGTAGTTTTACATAATTTAAAGAATTACAATGCGTATGTCAATGCTAAAGTTATTTTTTGTACTCATATTTCATAAAAAAAATCATCATCTTTATTTCTTTGCTATACCTACATTATTTTTATTTTTTAGTTAATGGTTCCCGAAGACAAAGAAAAGAATTTGGGTATAACGAACATTAATGTTCAAGACGGAGTCACTGACGTCCAGGGTTTCCTGATGGAAGTAATTTTAACGTTTTTGTTACTCTTCATCATTCACGCCGTGTGCGATCCTCGCCGCAAAGACATCAAAGGATCGGCTCCTCTAGCTATAGGTTTAGCTGTAACAGCTTGCCATCTCTGTGGTGTAAGCAGATTTTACTAAACGAAAAATTTAATATATACAATTAAAATGCTTTTTGCAGATACCCTATTCTGGATCAAGCTTAAACCCTGCTCGTAGCTTTGGACCGGCTGTAATCATGGATTCGTGGGAAAATCACTGGGTAAGCTAAAATATTTTTTGAAACGACTAACTACTAGTTGCACGTGTACAACAGGTGTGTCTTTTTGTATATTGACCTATTTTAACAAAGGACAGTTGATTGCATTGCCGCAACTTTCATGTAAAACTGTTAAAAATGCATTAACACGATTTCCCATTGCATTTTCATTTACTCCTCTTTTTATTAACGATTAATTAGTTAGTTTGTATTATTAATGTTAGTGTGTCGACTTTTACTTTATTTTCTTTTTGTTTCAGGTCTACTGGGCTGGTCCGTTAGTCGGCGGGGTATTGGCTGGCCTCATCTACAAATATTTGTTCAAGACGAAAAAATCTGATGTCGATTCATACGATTTTTAAATTGAAAATGTTTCATTTTTCACAATTATGTCATTCATTTAAATTAACTTCCATTTGCTTCGTAGGTACTAATAATCTATGTACAATTTTTATAATACTTTTTAAAAAAGTAGTTATTACGTTTTAAGTGTATCATAGTATTAGTTTTATTGACAATTCTAAATTGTTTTAATAAAAATGTTGATAAAACATCGTAAATTTAAAACCTTCCGCCATGTAAAGGCTCTTTTACTCTTAGATCTTTAAATGTAAAATCGAAATTAGTTATGAGACTATAAACCTTTCTTTAAATAATAAAACGTATATCAAATTTCTTAATATGAGTAGAGTTGCCCTTATTATTTTATTTTAAAAACGTTGGTGTATGTACTTCTAAATCAATTTTAAAAAGAAATTATGAATGTTGAAAGAACAAAAATGATTTTAAGTAAAATTTTGTTTTAATGTTATTTTGTAACTAAACGAAAAAATTTTTACAAATGAAACAGATAGCAGTTTCCTAGATAATTACTAACAATTCACGACGAAAATATTTCTTGTTAACCGAGAGGAAAATACTATACGAGTATAAATTTATTTAAAAAATATATGTGAGAACTAAGAATGCTGTGTGAATGTGTATTGTGTGTTTTCTATCTCTTCGAAATAGAAAATTTCCACAAAAACCACTGAGATATCCGAGTGTGAAAAGCAAAAAGCAACAAATTGGGACGTTGCACATGTTTTTTTATTGCATATTCTGAATTTTTATTAAAAAATAATTGACCTATGTTTTTTTTTTTTGAAATCTTAATTTTAACACAAAAAAATATTAGTCCGGTCAAAATAAACATTTTAAATAACTAAAATTCCGACAGAGCTAAATTTTGGTGGAGATCTTGAGTACACCATTAGGAATAAAGTGTCAAAAGTCCCCATCAATCCCATGTGTGCTAAAATAGTTATTCGGGGTCAAAGGTAGAAATTTGACGTTTTTTAGATTTTTTTCGAAAACGGTAAGTTTTATCAAAAAAGTAGCCCAGACAAAAAATATAGATCTTGAAATTATCTACAAAATGGTCCTTATACTTTTTTTCTAACAATCACCATTCCTGAGATATCGCGATTCTAAAAGTTGAAGGAGTCACGTTCTACATGGTATGCACATACAGAGTGCGTCAGAACTCCCGCTTCAAAGACAAATGCCATGTAGGGTAAGGTACCACAAACATAGAAAAAATTTAAAAAAAAATCTATCTATAAAAGTTTCAAAGTTATGAGAGTTTAAATTTTACACTTTGACTCTATTTATTTCTGTAGGGAAAATAATTTTCCAAGTTTTTTTTGCTACAGGCCATTAGAAGAAGAAACAAAAAAGCTGTGTCCTAAATTGTAACTCTGTTCAATGTTATTTGTGGCTTTTATTGGCAAAACTTTAGTACCTTTACTAGATAATTGTAAAAAAACATATACAAAATCATCAGTATTATTAAATAGACATAAAAAATAGTCAAATGTCAAAAAACAAATGTCAAATTTTTTTGACAGATAAAATTTTTTAAACATTTTTTTTATGTTCCTGGTATCTTATTTTACTTGAAATTTTTCTTCTACTTCATTAAACTTATAAATATCTCGATTGCATTAGAATTAAAAAGAATTTATTTGGTAATACATACAGGCTGTTCAAAAAATCGCGCATTTCCTTGAAAGGGAGTAATTGGGTAGTCCCCAGAGTACTGAAAAAATGTTTAAAAAATTCTATCTGTCAAAAAATTTTGACATTTATTTTTTGACATTTGTCATTTTTTTATGTCTATTTAATAATACTGATGACCTTGTATATGTTTTTTTATAATTATTTGATAAAGGTACAAAAAAATTTTTATAGATAGAATTTTTTTAATTTTTTTTTTATGTTCTTGGTACCTTACCCTACATGGCATTTGTCTTTGGGGCGCGAGTTCTGGCGCACTCTGTATGTGCATATGATGTAGAACGTTACTCCTTCAACTTTTAAAATCGCGATAGCTCAGGAATGGTGATTCTTGGAAAAAAAGTATAAAGACCATTTTGTAGATAATTTTAAGATCTATAATTTTCGTCTGCGCTACTTTTTTGATAAAACTTGCCGTTTTCGAAAAAAATCTAAAAAACGTCAAATATTGACCTTTGACCCCGAATAACTTTTTTAGCACACATGGGATCGATGGGGACTTTTGACACTTTATTTCTAATGGTATACCCAAGGTCTCCACCAAAATTTAGCTCTGTCGGAATTTTCGTTATTTGACCACTATTTTTATGACTAATTTGACCGGACTATATATCAAAAACTGTAAAATGAAATAAATTCAAAACGCGCGCCTTTTATTTTCTGTGATTTGGCGTTTGAAAGTCGATAAAGCAGATTGGAGATCTGTTTTAAGTTTATATTTTGGTGTTTATTGATTTTAATATCCGTGTTCTGTGTAATAATAATTATGATGCCAAAAATGAGTACATTTAAACTTTGTGATTCGCCATATTATTCCACTGTCAGTTATCATTGCACTGTCGTAAGTGCTTTTGGGATTGTTACGTAGTAAAGCGGGAATTTATCTCGGGATTAAATTCTACCCCAAACTTAACAATCGAAATTGTAGTATTTCAAACTCTTCCAAGTTAATTTTATTGATGGATCGCTTCTTTGTAAGGTAATCTTTAACGTATAAATGTAAAAAAACACAAAAAAAACTCCGATAAATGCAACTATTACCTATGTTTATGTTTCTGTATTATGTTTTGGAATCATAAGGTAGATATTTGTTAACAAAATTATCATATTAACAATATTATTTTTTGATTTATTCATATAACAATATTTTTTTGGTTTTAACAATAAAATGTATACTTTTTGAACCTCAAATTAGGATTTCTCGAAATTTTTTCAACTTTTAGTAACGCAACGATTTAATTTGACCCTTTTACGAGGTTAAAGGACGAGGAAACAGTTTATAGAAAATTGTAAAAAATGTCGATTATCTTTATTATAAACTGTTTTAAGAATGTAATACAAAATTTTAGTTTTCAAGAGAATACATTAAACCAACAAAAAATTCATCAATCTATAACTGTGGTAAAGTAGACTTCTACTCTAATAAGACACACAACACAAGTTGTATTTAATCATATGCAACGCAAAATGAGTGTCATCCTAAAATATCCATGCAGCCATTTTTTGCAAAAATTTTAAACTCTTTTATCGTAAATATGTCTTGTAACAATTCTTCTAATAAATGGAAAATTTGTCATAACGCATTGGTATTCATTATTATTATTAAGTAACTACAAAACTCACGTTCTATGGTTTTTGATCCGAAATTTTGTAGCTTTTGTATAAAATTTTTGTTATTATTAGAATATTTAAAGACGTATGAGTTGCTTTTGGTGTTCAACATGTGTTAGCACCAATCGTCATCATCCGAATCGGAATGGAGCAACCTAGTGGTTTTTGGTTTGTAACCATTAGGCACTGGACTTGGCAAGATACGACCTCCACGCCCTAAAGTAATGCCTTGTTCAAAACTGAGTGGTACTCTGCTTCCGCTACTCAAAGGAGCCACTCCCGTGGTTGGTATAAATTGTCTTTCTTTTTGGTAATTCTTGGCATGTGCCGGCATCTGAAGGGTAAACTAATGTAAAACATACAGATAATATTTTTTGGCAGGACTCACATGAGTCGGTGAAGGGGTCAATCTAGGAAAATTGATAGCTCCTTGACGCAGCTGAAGCGTGGAGGGTTTGGAAGGGGTCGGTGGTAGTCTTCGACCTTGGCGGTGACGATTTGTGGGTGTTGGGTTGTCTAGAAATTCGAGATTTTGATTCGGTTAACTCATGTTCCAAGAAAATTACTTGAAAAAGACGATTCTTGTCGTTTAGGACTTGGAGATCGCGAACGTTGACCCAGACTTGTAGTTCCATGCCCTCTGCGTACGGACCGTAAAGAATCGTTGTGACGAGTATTGCGTGAAAAAGGAGAATGTGCTGGGGTTGTCGAGGCCGACCAATGGTCTAAAATTACCAAATTTTACCATATTTGGGAGTTTTAGTCAACCTATACCTCTTCTACGTCTTTTGTTTGAGTTGGTTCGTTGTTCGTGTTTGACGAATTCCATAAAATTTGAGACAGTGTCTGCAATTCCAAAATCTTGACGAGATTTTCTTCGAGAAGATGTACTTCTGTGAAATTATTTAATAATAAACATGGAAATATTGCTGGTTAAAATGTACCGCACACTAGGTGATCGAACATGGTGATCTGGATTAGGCAAATCCAGAAATTGGCTTCTCGTGCCTTCGCTGGATTGTCGACGTGATTCGGAACTATTTTCTATGTTTATCACCTGTTCGGGACATAATGTACAAGTTGGTAACATTTAACTTACTTACCGTTTGATTTGTCGAGGAGCGATTTCCAAAACCCTGAAACACTTTTTTATCAAATCTGGTGGAAATATTGGCAAAAAGATACCAAAAACCCAGTTGATGATTCAGTTTGGCCAAATCTTGTACTTCTCCAATTTTCCAAAATCAATAGTCCTGCGTATATTTTGCCCACGGTTAATTTTCCACTGTTCAAAAAATCATTTGGTGGAACTAACAAATCAACAATGTCTTTGGCTTGAAGTGGCCATATAATTTTAATGGTCTCCCTTAGTTCTTCATCGGCTTGATCCATTTCATCAGCTGAAAAATAGTTTAAAAAAAAAAAACAAAAATTGCAAGTATGTGTTACGTGGCCTCATTTTTATGCTCAAATTTTCCCGTATTAGGGCAAACAGAGTAGTGGTAAAATTAACTTTGCCTTCATCGTCTACGGGCATATTCATCCTAATTAGCTTTTTGTATGCTAGTCTATTGGGGCATTTGTTGCCAAAGCCCAACGGAGGTGCCATGTTTTTCAGCATTTCGTACATTTCAGTGTAATGAATTTTTGCTCTGAAATTGGATCAGCTATTATTTTAGATAAATTTTTGTCGAATTGAATAAGTTACGTTGCTTTTGGGTCATACTCGGCCCAAATTCGGATAAACTCATCTAAATGGTGAGCTCCCAAAATTGAAGAATCACGAGTCAAATAATCAAAATTGTCCATGATAACAGCAACAAACAGATTCAACATCTGGAACACAGTGATAGATTTCGGTCAAATATTTAACAAAAAGTACCAAAAATGAACAGAAGAATATGAAAGAGACAAAGTAGGCGTATGCAATGTTTGAACCACAGCTATTGGGGGGTTTTTTAGCTGCCGGATCGCAAGGTCGTTCTTTGACACAAGACAGCATAATATTTGGCCAAGATTCACCAGTGGCACATCTGTGGAAAATAATTTTAATAAAAATATGTGCAAACTTGAGTGCCAGAATACCGAAACAGCAGCATGAGACCTTGAGTAAAGGATCTGAAGTTATTGTGACGAGTAATTGATGTGTCAGGATCCTCTTTGATGTTTCCAAACACCTGAGGAATGAAAAGTTTTAAAAAGTGCTTAGATTAACAGTTTGAGGAAAATTCTTACTTGCATGCCAATGATGGCATAAATAAAGAATAACATAGCGATGAGGAGACAGACGTAAGGAAGGGCTTTGAAGCTTTGAACAAAGGTCCAGAGAAGTATTCGAATTGTGTCTCCTTGACGGAGAAGTTTGATCAATCGCGCGGCACGAAATAGTCTCAAGCACCCAACGTTGAAGAAATTGTCCTACAAATTATTATGATTTTCGATAATTGTTTAATAAAATATAGAACTTCTAGCAACTATATGCAACAACTTGAGTATGATGATTCTATGTACTCAACTCATAAAATATTTAAATAAAAAATGTTTATTTAATTTTTTATTACTTTAACACTAAAAATTGGAGTTTTTATGTTTTCCATCGACCTCTGGCCATTTGTGTTTATCTAAATTCTTCAAATTTTGCAACTTTTTAAGTTTTCTTCCCGTTTTTTGTTGTCTGTGGTATAACAGACAGGTACACCTTTTTTATTTTTGAACTTATAACGTATATAGTTTCTGTTAACCACTTTTAATATTTTTTCATTTTTTTTTTAATATCTGTATTTCTACGTTCTATAACTTTAGGTATCTCTTCGCCAATATTTGTTTTTGTTCCATCTTTTTTATGTTTTATTTTTACTCGTTTTTAACATTTTTGTTTCTTGTTTCGCGTTTCTATTTTTGTATCTTAAATTTTTTGTTTTTTATTTCTTATGTTTTAAATATTTCTGACTTTATTTAGTGACTTAGACTAAATTTAGTGTGATTTAAAATTTGTATGTCCACTACGTACTTCTTTATGTAATTAAACTTTTCTTTTAGTTTTTGTTTTGCTTTTGTCTGCTTAATAATTGTTCATCATTCCTTGTTAAATAAATCTCTCTTTTTTATATTTTTAATGTTTTTGCTTTTTTTGTCTTTCTGTCTCTTTTTCTTATTTTATTTTTATTGAAAAATAAACATGTTTATCAAATTTATCACAAATTGTAATATTAATTTATAGCCATTACTAGTGTATTGAAAAAAGTATTTTTATTTTTCCTAGGCGTTTAATTCTTAAAATTAGCTGCTTGTTACAATTTTAAGAAATAATAAAAACAGTTTAATAATAATAGTCTAACATAACAAATCAATATTATACTAATTTTATCTTTTATAAAATCAACGACCATATTTTACCTGAATCCACTTTACGATGGCGTCCCCAGTGCTTAATTTTTCTGCAAGTTTTCCAGACTGAAGAAATTTAAAAATTGAAAATATAAGTGTAAAAATAAATTAACGACTCACGTTTTGCTTTGCTATCTTTGCTGCTCTTTCCTGAAACAATGTGTATAATTTAGTGAAAAATTACAAACTTCTAACTATTTGTACTACAAGTGTCCTACTAAATAATAGTTATTTATTGTACTCGTAAGAGTGTGGTAGGTAGCGTTTTATCCACGCAAGAATGTTTAACCGCGAGAACGTTAGTTCGAGCGGTTAATTTTCTTAAGTGGATTAAACGCGACTAACACACGACTGCAATATAACGTTTTATCCACAATCACGGGCCCAAATCATTTCAAATTTAATTAAAAATTAAACTGACATTTAAACGTCACGCCAAATGTGCTTTCGGTTAAACGTAGTAAGCTGTTAGGCGGTGCGCTGGCTACTAACAGTGGAATAAAGTTATTTTATTCCACTAGTAGATAAAGTGGTACTTTATACGCATCTAAAGTGTGGAATAAAGTCTCTTTATAGAGTGATTGTGGATAAAAATAATTTTATTTATATATGTATTTTTTCATTATTAACTAGCAAAATGTTAAGGAGATGGTAGCCAAAGTGGACATTGTTAAATTTTTTTCAATACTTATTAGTTTGGGGTTTTCACATAAAGTAACTTATGTTTGAGATGTTAGTTTTTATGTTCCAATCTTTATGTTTTTGCCAATTGCCTAAATTTAGACAAAAAAACTTACTCCAAGTTCGACGACTCCGGCGTCAATAATGCTCCCGATCACTGTGATGAAGTCAAAGATGTTCCAAGGATCTTTGAAAAAATTCTAAGAAAATAAATATTAGCAAAACCAAACATTATGTTTTAATAATTTGTGCAAAAATACTCCTAAAATTGTACTGTTTGCAAAATTACTATCGTTCTACAATGTGAAAAATAAAAAAAGGAAAAACCAAAATTGGGAGGCTCATATTTGCTGCAAAATTTTTCAAAAACTGTATTAAATAAAAACCTAATTTACCTTAATACCAAAAGCGATGAGTTTTAGGACAGTTTCACAAAGGAATAGCGATATAAAAAACTTGTTCATTGTTGTCAAAATTTCCGACAACATTGGCGGTGCTTGATGATACTACAAAATATAATATTCTATTCTAGAAGCTCAATTTCAACAGCCTCATACTAAATCAACAGGCAAAGAAGCATAAGCCAAGCTGACTAACGAAGAATAAGGAGAAAACATAAAAAGAATCGACCAAAAACAAAATTTCCCTTACCCCAGCCCCATAAGCGAGGATCTTGAGGATGCACTCGACTGTAAAGAGTCCGGTAAAAAGCCAGTTGAGGTACTTTAGCGTCAGGGTAAATGTTTCACTTTGCTTGTCGTACTGTCAGAAGATTTATAATAAAAATAAAATAAAATTTTTGATTATACAAGAAGCTTTGAGAAAATTATGATACACGATGCTTAACATTGCAGCTAACATACAAGGTGAGCTAAGGAAAATGATACTCCTTTAATATCATCACAAGGTATAATATCAAAATATAAGTCCGAATTATAACTTAAATTATTTTGAAAATATAAAAATAAGAATAAATTAACTATTGAAAATTATATTTATTTTTGAAGGGTTTTAGAATCTTTTGAAATACTTTAACTCTCCACATTTTTCATAGCCCAGTCAATTTTTTTAAAATAAAACACCTTATGTTTCTTTGCATATTTCGATGTATGTAAAAAAACTTTTAATGTCTAGAATTGATAAATGAAAAGATATTTAACATTCGATATTAATTGTAGCAAGAATGCCTATCAATATCTGAACATTGTTGATATTATGGTAAACATAGTAATTCCACCACGGATCACTTATCCGTTAATTTATAATGAATAATGAATTCAGTTTAACAAAAATGTGATATTAAGTGATATTTCTTCCATCTCTTGTGCAACTGTGTACTTTTTGGCTACTGAAACAATAGTAGTTTTTTTAATGTTTAACGTTAAATATCTTTTTAATGATTGATTATAAACTCCTAAACGTAAGGACAAATTAATAATCTTTTAAAAGCAAAAACAATAAATAGGGTGTTCCATTTCAATTTTTTAAGATATTGAACTTTTAACAAATGCCTTAATTTTTTTATCTTTTCAAGTGCAAGACACTAAAGAAATATTACAGCCTTATAGCTTGTATGTACATACCTTCTTCTTTGCGGTAGTAAAAATATATTTCTAGATGTCTTAAAAAGTGCTTGTTTTCGTCAAAAAACCCGTCTTATTTTTAAAACTAAGCCAAATCGACCAATAAAAGTTTAAGTTAAAAATATTGTCATAAAAATCTACATCCAAAAATGCTAAGAAACATATGGTGTTTCATTAAAAAAACACAAGTTTATATTATAACTTATTTTTGATACACGCTGTATAGTTGAAAATAATTTTAGGCGATGGACTAGATTAGTATCTAGCAATGTGATCATACCAATTTATTAGAACAATTTAGAAAAATACTATTTTCTTGAGAAATTACAGTTTTTCTCTTTTAACCATAGCAACAAATTTTGGGTGTGGTCGTTTGTATATCATTTTGAACTACTTAATTCACCCTGTTTCTGTTATATTTTTGTCGGTGAAACTTAAAAAAATCCAGACACATCTTTGCTAAGCTTTCTAGAAAATGTGGTAAAAAACGTACCTTTATCATTAACAATAAAGTATTGAACACAATCAGCATCATAATGAAATAATCGAAAGGTGCAGAGGCAACAACTTTCCATAATTTATACCTAAACCCGAAATCTTTTTCTGGAACAAACTGTTCCAAAGGACGTGCTTGTATCGTAAAATCTATACACGATTTCTACAACACAAGAATTTAGTTTCAAAATGCAATATTTCAACATTAACTCACTTGATTTTTATCGATTTCGCCACTTTGTAATTCCGCTTCTCCTTGTTCTTGAAACGTTATAATAATCAACGCTACGAATATATTTACAAAGAAGAATGGAAATACTACGAAGTAGACAATGTAGAAAATGGACATTTCTAAACGAAAGTTTTCGATTGGTCCTTGATCGACGTATGTCGCAGCCATTGAATGTTGTAATACCCTTATTAAGTTGCTGTTAATTGAATTATGACATAATGCAATACTTACTGAGGCCATCCTTCTCCCGTTTGGACAGCAAAGAGCGTCAACATTGCCATCATAACATCGTCATAGTGAAAACTTTGTATTGTCCATTCGCGCTGTTCAGCTCGGGGGACATCGCTGTCCTCATCATAGACGAAATACTGACCTCTGACGCAAAATTGTTAATTAGTTAAAACAGAAGATATTAAAAAACTGCTATGGTTAAAAAAAACATGATGCAAGTGAAACTTTTTTTGGATCAATACACTGATCAAAACACACAAATACCGCACGAATGAGTAAGAATATAAATGCTACACGGGCAGCTGATGCGAGCCATGGGCGCCGCCATATTGGCTGCTCTGTCGAACGCCTTTAGCTTTACCCCTACTCCGCGGCCGGCTGTAATGCGACATGCTATAGATGGACGAAAAATGTTGAATAAAAGTTTCACTTGAAAAAAGTACTTACTGGCATGTCGCTTTCGTAATTTTGCTAGCGTCGTTACAATATCTGAACTTGCCATTCCACAACTGCACAGCAATCACAGCAAAAATAAAATGAAATAACATATACACTATAAGGATATTTATCACATTTTTCAGAGAATTTACTAAACAATCAAACACAGCTTTCAGCTTGGGGACACGTTTAATTGTTTTTAACGGTCTTAGCACTCGAAGCACTCTCAACGACTTTATCGTCGACAAATTGGCCGCTGCTTTCTTTTGCCTAAAAAAGTTTCTCAAACCGGAAAATGATAATGATAAGCTTACGCAAAGTTGAAACCCATAGAAACTAAAGCACAAATCACAACAGTGGCATCCATAAAATTCCAGATTTCCCTCAAGTAAGAGCCTGGGTGTAAAATAATTCCCAAATCAATTATTTTAAGAAACATTTCTAGTGCAAAAACGACGGTGAAAACGTAATCTAGTTTGTCCAAAGCCGAATTCCATTTTGAGTGTTCATTGACAGGATCTTCCGATGCTAGTGCCATCGAACTTAGACAAATGACAACCATGATGAAAAAATCAAAGTACCGCAGATTCACAATTCCGTGAGCAAATTTTCGAACACTAGAAACTACTACTAAGTGTTCTGGAAAAACTTTAAAACACTTACGGGTTTGTTGGAGATAAAATAAACATGCTGGAGTAAGGCAACATTGGCTTTGGGCCCTCAATTTCCTCCTCTTCTACTTTTTCTTCTTTTTTCTTCGATTCCTTAGTTGGGCTAAGCGAAAACACTTCCATTTTTGTATGGCCATCCATTTGTAACGCTTCCATTTCTTTTTCCAACTCTTGTGCTTGCTTTTCTCGATTCTCTTCAGCTTGTTCTTCTTCAGCAGCTGTCAGTTCTTGAGCGTTGGCTAAATTATCAACAGCAATAGCTAGGAAAACGTTGAGAAGAGTGTAGTTGCCAAAGAGCATAAGTACGATGAAATACAACGAATAAATCATTCCGCCATTAGTTGGTCCTCCCAATGCTTCAATTCCAAGGTACATTACTTCATTCCAGTCTTCACCTGTCAAAATCTACAACACACCTTTAATAGATTTTTACGAGTAAAAAAATTCTTATTACTTGAAATACGGTAAGAAGTGCTATGGGAAACGTATTAAAGTTTGTTGGTGGTGTCTCGTCGTCGAAATTAAATTCGCCCCCAAAAAGTTGCATTCCAAGCAGTGCGAAAATTAGAATAAACAAGAAAAGCAAAAACAGCAAGGAAATAATAGATCGCATTGAATTTAACAAAGAAATGACCAAATTTCTCAACGAGGACCAGTATTTAGTCACTTTGAATATCCGAAGTAGTCTCAAGGCTCTCAAAACGGACAATCCGAAAGAACCGTCTTTGTATTCAGACCACACCACTTCAAAAATTGATCCACTTATTACCACACAATCGAAGCGATTAAAAGCTGATTCAAAATAGATTCGAGGTCCTAATGCATACATTTTGAGAAACATTTCCGACAAAAACAGTCCCAAAAATACAAATTCGGCATAATCTAAAATAGGAAAATTACAAATGTGGCTACGAATATTTTTGCTGGTTACATAAAAATTCAGTTAGCCATTGAGGTTGTCCGTAGAATTCCACCGCAACACAAAATGTATTGAAGAAAACTAATATAATAACAGACCAATAAAACCATTGAGTTTTGACCACGTGTCTGATTTTATAACGAAAGCGTTTTTCTGATCTCCAAAATTTGGCACATTTGCCGTTTCCTTGCGATCGCGTGGAGCGTCCAAATGCTGGAAAACATTCGAAATTTTTATGTAAAATATTCCTAAATTAAAAAAAAAGATTTTTGTTACTAACTTGACCAAATATTCCAAATGCCTAAGTAGCATGCGTAAATGTGAAAATTTTAACAATTTGAGTAATTAGCCACTTTTGCACTGAAATATACTACTGCTACATAAAATTAGAGTAAAATATTTATCTCGATTAAAACTGCGTACCTTTAAAGCTCTTCTTAGAGTCTGTAAGAAATACTGTGAATTAAGACAAAGTATCAGTACAAGGGAAAAAATTTACAGCTATTATACATGTAGTCTGTCTCAGAAATAATTGGACTAAAAAATGTGTCTTAATGTGACCAATAAAAAGTCAAAAAGATAAGATTACTTTTTAATTTCACTCTTTTTACTTTATTTATGATCAAATTTTTTATTCCGAAAATAATTTAGCTTTTTCAATATCTCCTGAATGATAATTTTTATATTTAACCTAGCTAATTTTTAATTTTTTAATTATTTCTGAGGCAGTGCCGTATAATAATTTTTATATTTAAATTAGTCAATTTTTTATTAGAAATGAAATTGAAATTGAAACACAAATATTGTTTTATTGTTTTACTAAATATTTTATAATCTACTCTAAATAATTTTATTCTGTACTTGTATAAAAACTCACAATTTTGATAACAGTTTTAGATAATAGGTAATCAAAATTATTTACTAGATAATTAACGTAATTTGTCTTTAAATGTGCTTACATTTTTTGACAATGAAATTATATAATTTTTGTCTTAAATGTAATAATTTAGAAATTAGGAGAATGACGATAATGTGTTATCTCGCACATTTTAAGACATTCTGTATACATATACAAAGCAAAAATATTTTTATTAAAAATTTTTAAATACCCCAAAAACAATTCACATTACTAAATTATTATTAAAAAGAAAGCGTGTAGTTTAATCTTAATAATAAGTTATTGTTTAGCATTTACATAACTGATTGTTTAATTTTTTATCGTTTTTGTTGTCTAAGCAAATCTTTTTTATAAAAATTATTATAAATTGTTTTTATGCTTTTTTTACGCTAAATAAACGATTTTTAGGTCAGATGATCATATAATATGAGAAAATTTGAAAAGTTGCAGTTCACTAGAAGACTTGATATAAGAAAAATTACGATTAACTGTCAAAACAATAAAAATATTTGTAAAAAAATATCGATAATTTTAAAATTCAGAACTAATAAATTGTTTTTTTCCGATGACACAGCACAAAAACTTTATTAAAATAATATTTTTTTATAAAAAAAAATGGAACAATATACATGTGTCTTCGGATAGGTGAAACGACTTTTGTAAAAGAAAAAAAAATACTGGATTTAAATTTTTATTTTTTGGGTTCAACCTTGCTTGGTTAAAAATTAATTTCTAACATAATTTTAGTTTTGAAAAATCCTAGGGGCTTGACCAAAATCATCGGGCAACTATGACTTTTCTTTCACAAGAGTTGTTTCACCTATCCGGGGACACTCTGTATTTAGACCAGACTATATTACAATAAAATATCCTTGATAAAGTTTCATTTTCCTGATTAAATTAATAAATCAACAAAACACAATTCTTATTTTATTTAATCAATTGTAAAAAGCAAAAATTGTTTAACAAATTTTTTTCTTCTGATGTAAAATATTGTTATCATAAATAAATACACCACTTATAAAACTGTATGTGTTTTATGAACTTTTGTCTAAATCTAAAATATTCATAGAATTTTCACCTACTGCGAATTGTACAAAATGTTGCTGTACAAAATTTTATTACAAATAATTTAAGTACTCGTAATATGTACTTATTTTTTATTTTTTATTTTTTAAACAATTAGTTTCGTATATTTTTTAATACTTTAGATAATATGACATTTGATAGTATAGTAGTAAAAAATTGACAAAAAAATATCTTACCATCATCTCCCATTTCCGATTCTGGTTCGTCTTCTGTGTCAGTACTTTTACTAGTTCCTATTTTTTTTAATTTCCTTCTTCTTGCTCTTCTTGTTTTCATAATATGCATCTTTTCCTCATCAGTCGTCCGTTCTTCTGCTAAAATAACTTCCTCTAAAACCAATATTTTTTTTGAAAATTAACCAAACAACAGCCAAACAAGACACAAACCAGCTTTACAAATCCATTCTACGTAACCGTTCAACTCTCTTTCTAATTGTGCTTGTCGTCTCATCTTTAAAAATTCCTGCCTATTTTCCACTTTTTCTCTTTCTTTTGCAAATTCTCTATTTATTAAATTTACATTCAGAAAAAAATATGAATATTAAAAGTGTCCCTTACCCACTGAGAACACCAAGAACGAGATTTAACATAAAAAACGACCCTAAAACTATAAGCGGGACAAAATACATCCAGTTAAACGAGCTTCCTATAGCATCATTCATCTTTAAAAAAAATGTTTAAATTTTGTTAATAAGATCAATTTGTTAAATACCCAATAAAGAATTGGTGTCCAGCCCTCCATAGTAATGCATTGAAATACTGTGAGCATAGCATAACCAATATTATCAAATGATGTGATGCCATGATTGGGGCCTTCCCAACGTTCCAAACAAACCGAATTTCCATCTCTACACCAGTTACTACCGTGAAGTCTAGCTTCTGTTTCATTGTCTGTGCTACAAGGTACTTCGTCTTCGCCCTCTGTCACAATCTGATCTAAAAAAAGAACAAAAAAAAATGTTGTATTAAAAAAACTACACACAAACCTATGTCATATAAGCTGTAACAAGTCTTATGAAGAACGCCAGAATAAAATTCCAACCCAATGATTGCAAAGATAACGATTGCAAATAAAACCAACAAACCAATTTGGAGCAAAGGTGCCATAGCCTTGATGATAGATTTCAAGACAACTTGCAAGCCTAAATGGAACAAATTGAGTACTGATGTTTTTACTATGAGAAAATGACTTACTGGGAATACCAGAGACCAATTTGAGAGGTCTTAAAACTCGAATCGCGCGTAATGTTCGTAAATTTACATCTTTCATTAACACTGTTAAAACACTAGAACACAAAATAATTTTTCTTAACTTAAATTAGTGTAAGACTTACCCCGTAAATACAACAAAAAAGTCCATAATATTCCAAACGTTTCTCAGGTACGATCCTTTATGTAGAACAAAACCAAGAGCTAGAATTTTCAACAAAGCTTCGGCACAAAATATTGTCAAAAAGTACATTTCTGTTGCTTCCTGGAACAATTAAAAATTAAATTTGCTTATTAAAACTTTGAAAAACGTACTAAGTTTTGTGCTAGTAGTGTTTTATCATGATTAGGTAGATGTTCCTCTAGTGCTAGTACTACACAGTTTGCAATAATTGTTAAAATAACTGTATATTCAAAAGGAGTAAGCATTTGTTAAGAAAAATAGACAAAATGGAGAAGAAATTAAAAAATGTTTGAAAGGATATGGCCACTCGATGATAAACCGAGTTTGTTTTCGAATAAAATTATCTTCAGAAAATAGGAACAAAGAACTTGCTCCTTCTCCTGCTGCAGCTTTTGAACGTTTCCCCGTCGTGGTCGCCCCTGATTCCTGTTCTCCTTGTGCCCCCTGCTCCGCAGCCAATCTAGAAGAAATAGAAAATTTAATTAAACGAAAATTATAGTGTTCAAAAGTACGGCTTACCTAATTGATTCAGCCAGCATTTCGACAATTTACACTTTCCACAAACCATCAGTATTTTTTTTCTAATGGTAAATGGTGAAATTTTTAAGAAAAAACACATTTTTTGCCATCATTTTTGCGAATTTTTCGGTTTGATAGAGCAGAGCCTCAAGCGTCCAGCTTCCAAACTGGCATCATCAGCAAGCATCCAGACGGCGCCTGACGTCTATTTCGACGTCGCCGCCAGCCCGGAGCCAACACTAGAAATGGGTTACCAAGCCAGCATTTGTCCTGCCTGCCATTTGACATAGATAATAATTGCAGAGGGTGGAAGGATGAGCCATAAATTTTTAACGATCCTAGTAAAAAATGACTTGATTAAATTTTAGTTTTCAAATTGAAATACTATGTTTAGCATAAATGTAACAATTATAGAAAAAATAAGATTGGATTACAGATTAGTTCAACTTTTGGTTTTGGATTGTATAAACATATGAGTCATTCATATGCTTTTCTTCGTCTATTTCATTTAATCCTATGACAATACATCATCAATTGATCTGCAGTTTTATATCAAAATGAGACACTGCAACAACAATGAAAATTTATAAAACTATTTTTTATGCAAAAATTGCTAAGTTATTTCTAAAAATACCTAGTTGTATTTTGTAATAATAATAACACAGGTCAACAAGGGTCCGGTATCATTGATGACTATTTGGTCAATAGTAGTTTTTTATTCCTAAATAACAAAATGCATTTAGTTTTTTGATAACACGTACCGTTTATTTGTTGCATTTTTTACCAATAATTTAATTAATACAATTTCTGCACTCTCACTTGAATTTTTTTCCAATAAATCTGGGGGCTGTCAGTGACGAACAAGAGGAGAGGTTTCACTAAGACATCAGAACGATGAAAGAACGCTATCAAGGCCGCTGGAATCCTTCCATGATAGGTGATTACTGTTAGCTTTTTCAAAACGCGACAGTAACGTATCTAACAAAAGAAAATGTTGAGATTTCACTCTTTTATTGTAATATATAACTTTTTTAATATTTCTAAAGTTAGTTTATTAAAATATTGTATGCTCATAATAAAATAAATTAAATAGTTAAATTATTTTCAGTACTCTTTGCTTTAACATGGGTGTGAGAACGAAGTTGATAACATACGAATGATACGTGATGGGACATTTTTGTGAAAATTTTCGAAATCAGAGTGAAAAATAAACGTGGAAGGCAGTTTAATCAATGTTACCGAAGATTTGTTCAAATTTGTTGACCAGTGTAATCGTTCGTTACCTACATCTTCACCCATGTATTGTACAAGAGTACAGGGTGATTTTAATAGTAGTGCAGAGGTAATAGTAGATAACGAAAAATTCAAAAATAACTCCACTTGTCTTCTCCGAATGTTTAAAGTTTCTGAGATGTAGTTTTAGTTGCCGAATAAATTTAAATTTGGCGCGGAAACAGACATGTTATCTGAGTTTACTTCTTCAAAATCCTTTACAATGTTTTAAAAAATTAAGTACCAATTAGCAAAAACAACCACAGAGAAATGAGTTCTCAAATTTAAAAAAATTGTAAAAATTTTGCATCAATTTTTTATTGAAGATACCTCGGATTTCATTATTTCAAATGTCACCGGCTATGTGAACTTTGGAATAAAATCCCCAAAAGATGCAAATTTCGTTTATATTTATTTTTATGACAAATCTTTCGATGCTAAAATGGAGGTTGCACTTTCCTCTATATCTCAATAATTCGGATAACGCAAGTGAGTTATTTTGACTTCTTTAGACCTTTCTTAAAATTTCTGCACAACTATTAACATGTGATTAGAAACATGTAATTTGGAAGATATGATTCTTAGAGGGTGTATACATCCGCTAAGAAAGGATTTCTCAAAAATCAATCTATAAGGAGGTGAAATGGTATTGTTATATGTATATGTTCCCAATAAGTGGCGAAAAATGTTTCAACAATTTTAAATTTTGACAATGGTTGACAGTAGATAGTAAAAAATAAGGTTAACCATCCTATTGTTTGCTTTACAATTTTATGTGACTCAAGTGACATTAACGACCAAAGCATTTTGTCCCCAATAGTAGGTACCTACACTTTAAATATTTTTGCACTCATACAAAACGTCCCGTAAAAAATCGGAATTTTAGTGCTCGTAGACTGTGTCACTGGTTCGTAACTTATCCACTTGGACATAATATTCTCTTTAGAAATCTCGTTACGTAATATACATACTATTCTTTTCTTTTGTATTGCTAAGATAAACTATAAAATAAATATATTATAATAAACTATAAATAAATGGATTATCATTTTTATTATAGGAGACATTCAGCAAAGTGGCTGACCTCTGGTGGCAGCCTAGAAACTATCCAAATGGCAGTGATGCCAGATGAGCGCTTGTCCCTAGATTGGAGCTTCCAAATTCCCTAGAATTTCCTAAACTACTTAAAAAAATTAAAAGATACTATCACAGATTATACTATTTCATAGGTCTATTTTGTTGAGATAATATAATATAAATACAAAATAAAAATGTGTTAACTCCAAACAACAAAAAATCAATAAATAATATAACATTAAATTAAAATAAATTTTACTAAAGAAATAAAAAAATTAAATTCATGTTAATTAAAACAAATTCAAATAAATGTGTATACAGGGTGCGCCAGAGCTCGCGCCCCAGAGAAAAAAAATAAGGTAGGATACCAGGAACATGGAAAAAATAAAAAAAAATATCTATGAAAATTTCGAATTTATTAGGGTTTAAAGTTTGCACTTTGACTCTATTAGTCCGGTCAAAATAGACATTTCAAATAACTAACATTCCGACAGAGCTAAATTTTGGTGGAGATCTTGAGTACACCATTAGGAATAAAATGTCAAAAGTCCCCATCGATCCCATGTGTTCTAAAAAATTATACGGGGTCAAAGGTCAAAATTTGAAGTTTGTTATATTTATTTCGAAAACGGTATGTTCTAGCAAAAAAGTAGCTCAGACAAAAATTATAGATCTTAAAATTATCTACAAAAATGGTCCTTATACTTTTTTTCTAAGAATCACCATTCCTGAGATATCGCGATTCTAAAAGTTGAAGGAGTCACGTTCTACATGATATGCACATACAGAGTGCGCCAGAACTCGCGCCCCAAAGAAAAATGCTATGTAGGGTAAGGTACCAGGAATATGGAAAAAATTAAAAAAAAAATCTATATAAAAATTTCGAAGTTTAAATTTTGCACTTTGACTCTATTTATTTCTGTAGGAAAAATAATTTTCCAAGTTTTTTTGCTATAGGCTATTAAAAGAGGAAACAAGAGAGCTGTATCCTAAATTGTAACTCTGTTCAATGTTATTTGTGGCTTTTATTGGCGAAATTTTTGTACCTTTACTAAATAATTGTAAAAAAAACATATACAAGATCATCAGTATCATTAAATAGACATAAAAAAAATTCAAATGTCAAAAAATAAATGTCAAAATTTTTTAAACATTTTTTTCATGTTCCTGGTATCTTACCTTACTTGAAAATTTTCTCTGGGGCGCGAGTTGTGTGCTAAACTCATATAGATACAAATGCGCTAACTTGGTGAAGTTACAATATTCACACTAAAAATTTTTGTAATTTTGAAACTGTGCCATCAGTGTGAAAAAAATTATAAAATCTTGATGTTTTTACTGAAAATGTAAAAAATCCCTAGATTATTTAAAAAAATCCCTTTTTTCCTTTTTGTTAAAAAAATCCCTAGAACTAGGGAAAAATTCCCTAATCTGGCATCACTGCCAAATAGGGAAAACATATTTTGACAATATCAGTTTTTTATTTTTGTCAATTTGACAAGTCAATGTAAATATGAGTACTTACAAGCATTTTTGTTCCGTACCTCATTACAAAAACTATGTGGGAGGGTCTATTTCGATGCATTACTTTCTAAAATGGAGATTTCAACTTTTGGCATTATTATTTTAAATAAAAAAAATACTCCTACAGACAGATTAAATAAAACTTTCAAGTTGTCACAAAATCCCGCCAAAATGTCGCGCCGTCGTCTAAGCTACGCGTCAAATTTAAGAAAGGAGACATCTAGTACGTCAACTGTAAATTATTCACACGGGAAAAACATTAATGTTTCAGTACCATCTATTGGCGGCTGATTTCTACTATTTTTTTTACTTCACATTACATTTGAAGGTGAATGAATTTTGTACTTTGCATAAATTGGAGTGTTTTGTAGGACTTCTTCAAATCAGGTCAATTTGATGAACGTCATTAATTTGTTGGAAGTGTGATGACTAAACAGTGAAGATTGACTGGTAACAAAGAAGATAAGTCCGACATTTTTATCAATTTGTAAGACAAGGTTTTCCACCGTAATTTTTATTTTTTTTTGATTTTCTTTCTCACTTTTCTTTAGGGAATTGCAATATTATTCCTGATACTTACATCGTTTTCTAATCTCGAGTAATTTACTAAATACGTTTTTATAAACAGACCTCGAGAGTTTTTCTGAGAAAACCCATAAAACTTGGAATATTTACGAGGGTCAAGTCAAGCCCACCCCCGAGTGGTCGATGATCGAAACCAGATGTCTTTAAGACTGTGAGAACCAATTCTCTAAAAATCGTCGAGTTAGAATTAGTTTTAACCCACACTTCATCGGGGTAGTTTGAGTTCGAGTGTGAGTGTTTATTACAAATTATTATTCAAAGGTGAGTTTGTCACTGAGTAATCTGGGTTCCATTGGTGTGAGTGAGTTTGTCACTGAGTAATCTGGGTTCCATTGGTGTGAGTGAGTTATCACTGAGTAATCTTGGTTCTATTGGTGTGTG